TTTACTTTGCTTATGTCTGTCTAAGTTCACCAGGTCATCCAGGTAATCTTTTCTGACACAGTTACATCGAGGGCAACTGAACCAGACCAGTCCATTTGCCATTGATGTAACTGCTTTGGATTTACTTGCCTACTTTATTCCTAGTCTGGCACACTACCATGCTATGCTGCCTTACTGCATTAATATGCTATACATTACTGCGTTACTGTATTCCATACATGCCTGGCGACCCTCCTATTGTAACCTACACTGATTTATCTAGGACCAGGGCAACTTGTGAGAATGAAAGAAACACTTAAAAAGTCTGTGAAGATTCTCATTCGTTATCCATAGAGTTTAGTTGTAAGAAACTGGACTTCTTGTTTGAGCTTGAAAAACACCCTTCAAGATCAAACAAGAAGTCCAGTTGCTTACAACTAAACTCTATAGAAGCTATATAGAAAATAAATAGCAATACTGTTCATCAATAATTTGATTATTATTATCTTAATTGTACCCACTGTGTTTCTTTGCAGGATGTCAGTAAAATCAATGAGGGGAGGCAGCCACTCTATCAGGATGACACTAATAAAAGAATTCTTAATTCTCTCGAACTGCTCACTGGCCTGGATGAGGACGCTGCCAATGCCAAGATTCTTCAGCATCCTCAGGCTGAGATGATAGAGCAAGAGTGAGTAATACTACCTATTACTAGTGCAACCAATTAACTGAATTAGTTTTGACTAATACTTGAGAGGACTATTTTAGCACTTTATAAAGGTTTAGGTTCAAATAGACAACCACCGTTATTTCTGGACTATAAGTCGCAATTTGTTTTATCCTTGGGCGCGACTTATACTCAGGTGTGACTTATACATTAAAATATATAATTTCACGTTTGTTATTTTCACACTGACAGCTGTGAAAGGGCACTCTAGGCTTGTACAGAAAGCTGGTGAAGGATCTGTTTCATTCTGCTTTTCACCATGAATCTGCCAAAGTGGGTTCTCCTCCCTGGAAGATGTAACAAAGATGGGTCAGAAATATTGTACTAAATTAAAGCATGAGATTATGTTTGATGTCTGGATAAAACTTCTGCAGCATTGGAGGAGCTTAGCTCAGTCAACATCAAGGGCTTTGCCTTTCCTTACTCCCCAGACCAAAGCAGAAAATGGACCACGACTTCTCCAGTACTGCTCATTCTGTTATACTTCGTTAAAATGAAAAAGAAAAGGACTTTTAAGATTTAATTTTCAACATCTGCCCCAGCAATTAAGTGCCAAAATTCATGTTGAATTGTCAAATTTGAAAACGTAAAATGCATTAGCAGAATGCTATTCATTTTCAGAATATACCTGCACTTTTTGACTCAAAAAGATTAAATTAATAATCAATCATGAAAACTGCATTTTCATTTTCTTCTTCAACACTTACCTATTCTGTAACACAACTAAAAAACAATTTAATTAGGTCACAAAATGAGCAGTCTTGATGAAGAAAAAAATGCAGTTCGGATGATTGATTTTCTATGTTACTTATGAGTCAAAATATGCAAAAAAATAAAAAATAAAAAAATTATGGTACCGATTGTCTTCCATACAGATGGTCTTCCATACAGCAGCCATCTTTGGTGACATCTGGTGGCAAAAAGCAGCTTCAATCTACAACTTCAAAATTCGAAACCTAATTGTGGTTGCTATTGCTATAGCTGTTGTCCAATAACACATGGGAATGAATTATATCCTCATCCTCACTGAAGTCTCCAATAACACATGAGAATTAATTATATCCTCATCCTCACTGAAGTCTGTAAATGTTTATGTATCAGTTTTTAATTTCAACAAGAACCTCCCATTTACCTTGTTTTCAGTTGAGACATTCCAACAAACAAATAACAAAATGAACAGAATTAATCTAAATACTGCACTATTTTCTAAAGTTGTGATCTATTTGTCTCTGTGCAGCATGAAACAGCTACGTGAGAGAGTCATAAAACTGAGAGAGGATCATGACCGTATCTACCACCTGATTCGTACGGAGGGAGTGCCAACTATTAACTGGGGAAACATGATGGATGAGAAGCTGGTAGGAATCTTCATTGCTTCTAAATTGTACCTGCTATTTCATTGGTCCTATACCTGTATAATAATAGTAACAACAACAATAATAATAGAAATAATAATAATTCTTGTTATTATTATATACTACTACTACTACTAATAATAATTATTATTGTTAGTAGCCTCTGAAACAACACAACGCTAAAGAAGCCTCTTGGATTAGAGGCGAAACTTAGAACCTACACAGACAGATGTTAGTATTAGTAGTAGTAGTACTGTTTTTATTAATATTACTATGAGTCATTTCAGGAGCAATATTGGTAATAACAGACAACCTAACAAAACATCCCCCCAACACCTTACAATATGATCTATATTTATATATTATATATATTTTTTTTTCAGTTTAGTTTTCTGTGAAATTAAAATACAGCTTATTTGTTACTTTTAGGAAAGGTTATTATTTGATAACTTCATAAATTTAATTTTTTTTTTTTGTTTATGAAAATGAACTAAATGAGCTTCATTTGCTTTCTAGGATAACCTTACAAACAAGGGCTTTGGACAGGATCTACCATCTGTGGAAAACGAGGTGGAAGAACACAACATATTTCACAGTGAGGTGGAGGCTCTGGCTCCTCACATCTCTACGGGCGGTGACAAGGTAAAAACAAGAAAATCCTTTTTCCAAAACAATTTGGAAAACAGATGTAACGGTGCTTAAGTCAGAGTAATGTTAATAAAATCAATTAATGTCACTTATGGATGACTCTCGCTGCGCAATCAGTGGGTTTACATTGAAACAGTGCAGAGGCAAATAGGTAGCAAATAAAAGCACACATAAGAAGAAGAGACAAAAATCACTCCTCAAAACATTTTTATTTTTCATTACTTTATCTTATTCTAAAATATTTTATTAATCAAGAAAAAGACATTTTTCACCATATTGCTGTTGAATATATTGTTGTTAGTAGTTTAGTTCAATTAACTGCATAAATTTGATCTGACCTGGTTTGCAACCTTTTTTTCGGAAAATAGTTTAGAAGCCCGAAGTAATAAAAAACTCAAACAGCGTTTCTGTTAGGATGTTATTTACATATACTTCTTCTGTAAAACTCTCTCTTTAAAATCCTTGGATTATAAAATCTGAAAAAAAAAATGGATGTCCTCACCAATAATAAGAAATCAAATTAAAAAAAAAAAAAATCTGTGAAATCTTCTCACTCTGTGACAAATAAAAACATTTAAAATTAAATTAATTTGCTGTCCCTGCCCCCTCACAAATACTTAGTTATCATCATTAAAGAGTGATAATTGACGTATATTATGTATATATATATATATATATATATATATAATTATCATAATTTGAATAATTTTGCCCTGTTTTTAACAAGAAACAAGTAATATTGAAAAAAGCTCCAACTAAATAAAAAAACTGTAGTGACTAAGCTTCATTAATTTCTCTATTATTTTCTCTTTTTTTTTTTAGGCGTTTTCCTTTTACACTTTACACTCTTTTCTCCGCTAATTTCAATTTGTTTCGCACTATTTTCTTTGGTTGTTTTGGTTGCTTCTAATAACTCAATATGAAGCACTGGATATCTTTGGGATTGATTGATTGATTGATTAGACTAAATATAGTACTATATTATTTTTCAGTTTTGTTTGACATTTGTATTTCTTGCCTATGTTTTTAGGAGTATGTCAGCAGTCTCCAGATGAAGTACAACAAACTGCTGGTAACACACACACACACACACACACACATTTAAATGTTGTCAGATCTCATTACTTCCCCCTTGCTATTTGAATGTGATAAAAAACAGTGCAAGATATATACTTATGCACAGGCGCAGCATTAGAATGTAATCTTTGGGTTTGTTATTTGGTCTTATTTGTCATTTCTGTTCAGATGACGATTTTTTTATTTGTAACTTTGCACATGGTATTCTAAAAGCATATATTATTAGATTTTTAGATGTATTAACACACAAAGATTTTCTATGTTTATAATTCAAGTGATTGTCTCATTTATATTCACAACTTTTAATTTACCGTAATTTCCAGACTATTGAGCGCACCTGAATATAAGCAGCTATTAAATTTAAAAAGAACAAAATAATTGTACATATATAGGCCACCATGTTGTAACATGGGATATTTTTTCACTTTTAATTGAATACATTCTTTTTTCCGAACCTTGCCTGTAACATGGCTGGTTACACTTTGGTTGCTCTTTTCCGCTGCAGAGCCCCGACGGTAGTTGGAATGCACAAGGGAGACCGAAGCTATACCTTTAGCTATGGGGCTAATTCCCTTACCAAGCACAACAAAAAAGTACAAAAAAAGAAGCCGCTTATAGTCCGGAAATTACAGTAGTCAAAAACATTAAAATGCCAGTTTAAAATTTCTTGAAAATTAGACAGTGGGCCTGGTGTTCTCATTTTAGATAACGGTCTTTTAATTTACCTCTCTTCTATACTTCTTTGTAGAATGCTTCCAGTGCTCGTCAGCGTCATCTGATGAGCCTCCGAGACTACATGCAGCGTTGTACCAATGAGCTTTACTGGATGGATCAACAAGCTGAGGAGAGGATTAATTATGATTGGAGCGACGTCAACTTAGACTTCCCTGCCCGTCAGAGGCAGTATGAGGTAGTGGACTAACAGCATTAATATATGAAAACCTAGTGATTCCGTTTTGTAGCTTGTGGAGCTAGATATGGATAGACAGACAGACAGATGGACAGATAGACCATCAAAGAGTAGGAAAAACTTGAAGGAGTAGATATTAGTGGCGCTTTGGCCCAGAGGCAATGTCTCTGTCATTGGTGTTGAATCCCAGGGTTCACCTCCTGGACAAGTTCAAATCCCGATTAGGGCGGTTGGTACCTTCCAGTGGACTCACCACCCGCAGGTAGGTTTAGGGGGGTTGGTACGGTGCTGCCCCCGCGACCTGATAAGCGGATGAAAATAAATAAATAAATAAATGGATGGATGGAGTGGATAATAGTAGGTCCGATTAGTAAATTAGTAGGTTTGTAGCAAGTTAGTTGTAGTTAATGGATTATTATTGTTGTCTGTTGTCAGTGTTTATAATAATAATAATACTAATACATTTTATTTATAAGCACCTTTCATAAGCGGATGAAAATAAATAAATTGATGGATGGAGTGGATATTAGTAGGTCATTAGTAGGTTTGTAGCAGGTTAGTTGTAGTTAATGGATTATTATTGTTGTCATGTCTAGTGTTTATTATTACAATGTCCATTATTAAATTAGAATCATGTATATTAAAGTATACCACATCATCGCTATGGTATATATATGTATATGTATAAGCAAAACAAGGTATAGATTCATATAAAAAACATGGGATGTGATGGTAAATATGTCCGTTGTGCCAGTAGATGGTATTGCCATGAGGTTTATTTTGATTTGAGAGTGGCGTGCGAGTTATTTTGGGACACTTTGACTCACCGGTTGTTTTAGCTTTTTAACACCAGACACCCTCATCAAAGGCAGCCAGCTACAGGGTGAGGATCTTGCTCTGGAGGAAATGAGACACACACCTGACATAACACTTTGTAAACAATAAAACACATTCACATTTTGCACAATGACGTGTGCTATAGCTTGTGAAACTGAAGTGTAAATTCCCGTAACTTTTTGTTATTAGCATTCATACTGCCCATAAATTATCTAGTAGTAACAGCATTTTAATGATAAATACCCATAAATGAAAAACCTTAAGAAATGTCACTAGAAAATGCACCTCTTCTTCGGAGATTGATTTAATTGTCTGTTATAATTGTCTATATAAATAGTTTGAATATATATTAGTGCTGCACCATTAATCTAAGCACAATTTGAATCGCGATTTCCCGCTTTGACCTTACAAGAGTTCTACGAAAAGTCAGTGGAAGGGAGACAAAACAGTTCAAGAAGCTCTCTTCTTCCTGTTCAGAAGTGCTTTCAGATCACTGGAAATCCAAAATGTAGTCTTTTAGCAGGAAGCAGTATAAAACATTTTATATCCCCTGTTATAACACAGCTGGTATTTACTGTGCAGTCCCTCTTTTCTTCAGCTTGCTTAAAATGAAATGACTGTCCTGGTTACGACATTTCCATCTTACATGTTTTCTGGTCTGCCTTGTTGTTATTGAATATTGAAATGCATCCAAAAATATGTCTTGAATATGCATGAAATAAAACACTGTGTGATTTATAGGAAAATATTTTTGTCCAAACAGAATTTCATCAGCAAAACATTTTGTCCAAACAGAATTTCATCAGCAAATGCCTGGAGTCCAAAGAGGCCACCATTACAAAGCTAAATGATGATGGAGAGAAGCTGGTTGCTTCAGATCATCCGGGCAAAAATGTCATTGAGGTACATATTAATCTATATATTTTTTTCTACCTACATAACTTGGCATCAACATTGATATTGGCTTTTGGACCCTAATTCATTTTATCCGCTCATCTGCTTCAAATGTTTTTCAAAATAATTTATTTATTTGCAAGAGAAGGTTATTGTGCTAAATAGGCATGCACCGATCCACATTTTTTCAGTTCCAATCTGATCCGATATTTTGGATTTGGACATCGGCCGATACTGATACTATTCCGATAATATTGCTTTAATATTATTATATGCATGTATTTCCCAAAAGACACCTTAAGGTTAGTCATAAAAGGAAGTCAACAGGAACAGGAAAAATCCTATCCTTAAAGCAAATATGCAACTGTACGGGTTTGAAATTGAACATTTTGTTCAAGTGTAAAGTAAACATCTTGCAACAACGTGTGCATCTGCCCTTATTCAGTTCATTGCTGGCTACATTGACAGTCAATCAACATGTAGTTCAACAGTATATGACTTTTTTTTTAGTTAAACATTAATAATTGCATCGCGTGCCCAGGATGAGCGTGCGTTTTATTGTTTTTTATTTTTTCTGTCAGCGCTGCGTTCCTTAGCCAACAGTAGTCTTCAAACGGTCACGGCTGGAATAAAGTCTGCAACAGTGGAGGTCGCTGAGCTGAGTACGAGTTTGTACTTCATCTGTTGGGAGTTTATCTTGCCTTTGGAACGAGTCCAATAGTGACTTCCGGCGGCTCTTTGATTACGTTAGTGGTGTTGTATGAAGAGACTGCAAATATCGCATGTTGCTGTGTGGTTTTTGGTATAAAAAAATAAAAAATATTTCGACACGGCGGACGTATTTCTTTGCAGCCTGCTATATGGCTGCAAAATGTGGAGTGGAATCTCTGAACGGCCTCGTGATCTTGTTGAGTGACTGTTCTGGAAAGTGATTCCACAGTTTAGTCATCCAACTGTCCGATTCATGCCGGCCGGTCTGTTATTCTAACAGACCGGCCGGCAGGAATCAGACAAGGCTGGAGCTCAGACATGGTTCGTGGATTGGAATTTTTAGCAGGTTGGATCGGTCCGATCCGCTAAATAGTTGGGATCGGCCCCACCCCTAGTGCCCCTAGTGCTAAACATATATATAATTTGGCTAAGTGTTGTTTTCAGATTTTTGTGTGAAATGTAAACATATATAACATTTGTTGTTTTCAGATTTTTGTGTGAAATGTTTAGGACTCCTGGTGTTGTTGTTCATCGGCTTGATGCCTATCTTTATAATATTGTGTGGTATATGTTTCTCTGCTTGTGTTATCATTTTAATGTCAGGCTCACATGGAAGCCGTTCATGCTGACTGGAAGGAATACCTCAATCTGCTCATTTGTGAAGAGAATCACCTAAAACACATGGATGAATACCACAAGGTAATACAGAGGACAGATTCACACACGCATACAACCATTTATAAAAACATTGATTTAACTGTGCGTGGGTCTATTTGTGCCCAGTACCATAAAGAGGCTCGGGACACTCAGGACCTGCTCAAGCGTCTGGATGCAGAGGTCAATCAGAAGTACAACCCTGACTTCAAAGATGTGTATCAGACGGAAGGTCTCATAAGGGAGCTAGAAGTAAGCATACATTTGACTGTACATTATAATTACGCAGGTTACAGAAAAGTGTGTTGATTCCAATAGCGGAGAAAAAAAATATGACGTGTGATGTTTTGTTTGTAGGACCAAACCAAGGCCGTAGACCACTTTGATGAACAAGTTAAAGCCCTGCATAAGCGCAGCCTCCTGGTTTTGCCTCTGAAATACCGCAGGGAAACTCCTCAGAAGCTCTTGCCGATTGAAGCTTTGTGCGAGTTTGACACTGATGAGGTAGGTCCTGTTTTTTTTTTAGAAGTTAAAAGCAGCAATAGCGGACCTAAGTGGCATGAAATTAATAACACTATCAATATAATATTTCGAGAAGAGTTCGTAACACATAAGCACAGGTGGCAGCATTCCTTTCCACCCGAAAGTGTAATTTACATTATTATATAAAAGACAGATTCATGAATACATTGACAATTCGATTCAATTGTTATTCATGGTATGGAGTATATATGGAGTGTTGGCCTTTAACGTCACTTTTTTTTCCCTCTCTCAATGCTGTAATCACCATTACAGGAAATAAGTAAGTCTTTACAGGTGTAAAATACCATAATAATAGAGGATAAAGTTAGAGGTATTCAGATTCAGGGCCAGGTTTTAAATTGTGAGAACCAGGTACATGGCATTGTGTACTGCTCACTCTGTCCACTATGTGGTGCTTATTGACTGATCAGAATTACTGTACTTGATGCCATTGTTGATGAGGAGAAATATAAAAGTTTCCTTTTTATGTAAATAACCAAAAACTTAATTTTTTTAAACTTAATTTTGATAACATTATTTTTTTTAAATTAACTATGCAATTAGAAGTTGTTGAGATTTAACTTTAACAGTAAATAGTTGTTGTAACAAAGGCATTCACATTTTTCGTTTTCTTGATCCTAATGAAATTGTGTTTTGATTGCGGTGATATCTAAAGGGGCAGATTGTGCGTGGGGAGCGGTACACATTACTCCGTAACAACGGGTCTAAATGGGATGTGAAAGATCCAGCTGGACATAAAGTCACTGCTCCTGCTGTCTGTTTCATGATTCCTCCCACTGATCCCGAATCAGTTGCTATGTCGGACAAGTGAGTGAACACAGATAAAAGTTTGGCTTCATCATGCTGTCCTGTACTGTGTACTCACATGTACTCTAACAACATTTTCACAACATCAATACCCTACATGTTTAATGTTTGTTGTGTTTGTCCCTGCAGCCTGATGACTCAACAAACAGCTCTCAAACAAAAGATGACAGCCAATATGGGAAATTTGCAGAAGCATTTTGAACAACTGAAGAAAGAGAGTGGCACTGGTGTGTCTCCAATTGACTTCTGTTGACTTATAAAAACTAGGCCACAAACTGCACAAAGCGGGATATTCCGTAATGTCAAATGATGAAAGTTTTGGGTTTTTTTTTTTTGCGTCTGTTAAATCTTCAGTTCAGAGAATAAACTTCAAGGGTTCATGTGGAAGCAGAACAGCTGCACTTGCGCTATAGAACATCTAACAGAAGAAGTACTACACTGTACAACATATAGAAAGAATTCGCATAGATAATTAATTATTAATTAAAATATTACTTTGTTGAATGAAGATAATGAAAGGGAAAGTAGAAATGAGGAACCAGAAACTATTAGGAAGAAGGTAGATCAGGTTAGAAAGGATGAAGTAAGAAAAGCCCTGAAGAGGGTGAAGAGTGGAAAGTCAGTTGGTCCTGATGACATACCAGTGGAAGTACGGAAGTGTTTAGGAGAAGTAGCGGTAGATTTCCTGACTGGGTTGTTCAACAGAATTTTAGAGACTGACAAGATGCCTGATAAGTGGAGGAAAGGTGTTCTGGTGTCAATTCATAAGAAGGGTGATGCACAGAGTTGTAACAACTACAGAGGGATAAAGTTGATGAGTCATACAATGAAGATTTGGGAAA